TTTAGGGTTTTAGGGTTAGGGCTTAGGGGCTTAGGGTTTGAGGTTTAAGGTGCATATACCATATAGGGATTCCTAGTATAAGGGTATAGGGCCCGTACTTTTGAGGGTCATTTCGTCTTTGAAGGGTAGCTTTTCCTTTGACTGCTTTGGGTTTAGGGTTTCCTCAGAAGGTGCATTGAGGGTTTAGGGTTTAGGGTGATTGTTTTTGGTTTAGGGTCTTTTTAGAAGGTGGGTTACAAATTACCATGAGGGTCCAACGGCGGGTGAGTATAGAGGCCTTCATAATTAGACCAGGCTCTAGGGTGTGGTTTAGAATTTAGGGTTTCGGGTGTTCCAGTTGTTTCCGTGTGTGCTACTCCTTTCTGGGATCTTCAGAAAGTTATTTTGTGTCTGCTTTCACAGGGTAGCATCTTTTCGCTGGGAGGTGTATGTCTGTAGGCATGCCTGAACGTTGAATACCCAAGCTGAACCCACCCAAACCCCAAACTCGAAAACCCCTAAGCTTATTGATATCCACCCGAACCGCAGATCCAAAACCCCTTAGCTGCCTTAGCTCATTTATGTTCGAAGTCTAAACCCACAGAAACCCATAATACGTGGTTACCCCCCTGTTGCCAAATCCAGACTCCCCCAGCCCCGTTGATTTTTCAACCCGCAGGAAGAGAAAGGGTAAGACGTAGTTGCTGTAACCTACCATACTATCGCCGCGGTCCCTTTTACCGTTTGTCCCTTTTACCGTTTGTATGATTAGCATTCCGTATTATGATAAGATATTATTAACTTAGCAGTATTATGATCACTATGGTTACTAAGCCCTAAGCCCTAAACCCTAAACCCTAAACCCTAAACCCTGAACCCTGATTCCTGAACCCTAAACCCTAAACCCTAAACCCTAAACCCTAAACCCTAAACCCTAAACCCTGAACCCTGAACCCTGAACCCTAAACCCTAAACCCTAAACCCTACTCTGATTCATTGTTACCAAACCCCCGCGGGGATCTAAGAAGGACGATCTCCTGGGGTTTACGTCGGGTTTAGGGTTTACCCAAGGGTGCTTTGTAGGAGCCCCATGAAGGGATCTACATGGGTAGTTGTCAAAATTATGGTCCCTTTTTTGGTCCTTATTATAATACGGCACCTATTATTTAGGGTACCCCAAAAGCGACCATAATTTTGACAACCACCCACATGTTGGCTCCCTAAACCCGTAATATAGAGGACTAAATAATTACCAACCCTATAGGAACCCATGAAGGGATCTACATGTTGGCTCCCTAAAGCCTGTAATATAGAGGACTAAATAATTACCAACCCTATAGGAACCCATGAAGGGATCTACATGTTGGCTTTCTAAACCCTAAGCTAACGCTCATGGACCCCCATAGTGAAAGCCCAAATCTGAGCCTCCAAAGCCGAAACCTTCGCCTAGAAAGCCCGTAACAGCAATAAGAGCCCTAGGGTAGGTGATTAGTTAGGCCCCTATATTACAAGGGTGCAACATTCAACCCTAAACCCTAAACCCTAAACCCCTAAACCCTGAACCCTAAACTAAGCCCTAAGCCAGGTATGAGGGAATACCTCTACTTCCAGGATGGGGAGGACACCCGGGAGTTTTTCTTTCTCAGAGTCTGCAAAACCCTAAGCTCTAAACACGACGGTTGATGATATAAAATCCTGCACTACCCATGATAAGGAGCCCTAAACCCTAAACCCTAAACCCTATATACCATAATTATCATAGTTTAGGGTCCTTAACTTAAGGTAATGCAGGATCTATACCGTGGTTTAGGGATGTTTAGGAGTCCACGCTTCAGGATTTCAAAGACAGAGGGTTTAGGGTTTAGGGTTTAGGGTTTAGGGTTTAGGGTAGGTACCTTGGTTGAGGCAGTTTGGGGCACTAAGATGCCCAACGCTTTGCAGGGTTTGGGTTTTACGCTTTTGGGTTGAAGGCTGTGCGGCTTACACTCTTACCCTAAACCCCTAAACCCCTAAACCCTAGACCCTAAGCCTTTAAGCCTTAAGCCCTGAACCCTCAACCCGAAACCCCTAAACCCCTAAAACCCTAAACCTTTGATCCGGTTCCCGATCCAAAGCCTTCGCCAACATGGCTTCTGGGACCTTCAGGCCGAGTCCAAAAGATTCGGGTTTAGGGTTTAGGGTTTAGGGTTTAGGGTAAAAACACTGCCCTGTATTCCTTGCGGTGCCTCCATTAAAAGGATTTAAGGTTCATGTGCCATATGTTCGTAGTATACGGGCCCTACATTGAAGGGTCATTTCGTCCCTAAGGCTACAGTATCTTATAGTATGATATGCCGTTAAAAGCCTATTGAGTAAGGTTTCTGCACGACAACCTTATGCTAACCCTTCTAAGATTCTAGATCCCAGTGAAGAACCCACACAGGAACCCCGTTCTAGTGACGGCGGCGCCTACTTCTACGCCTTCTGAGACGCCCTGTCTGTATGTATGTATGTATGTATGTATGTATGTATGTATGTATG